AAACACAATACTGTAAACATGCACCACAGGAAATGGATGTTTGCTGACTTACCTGTCTGTTTAGTTTTACAGCCAGTATAGTGTTTGAGTAGCTGTAGTTGCATATCTCAGTCCCTTTCTTGAAATGACAGACTTTCAGCTTCCTAGGTGCCTTAAGGCTGACAATAGCGACAAGGCTGCTGGAGAACAATCTCTCCACGATGCACACATCTTCTGTGTCAGCTGAGCACACATACATGAGAATATAAAACACGTCTTATGCACTACACTCATGCAAACATTTATTATGGACTACAGCAGTGATTCTCAACCTTTTCAACTCAAACACTCCCCGTTTATTATTCAAAGTCTTCCCCCCCATAATAGAAGCGAATATAATTTTGGTATTTCTGCTGTAATTAAGCTGCTTGTTTTTGTTTTTTCAACCATTTTTATTTACAGAAACTGGGAATATTGATTTAGTAATTTAATTAACCACAATTTATTTTGTGATGAAATACTATTTAAAGGGGTCATATGATGATGCTAAAAAGAACATTACTTGGTGTATTTGGTGTAATGAAATGTGTTTATGCGGTTTAAGGTTAAAAAAACACATTATTTTCCACATACTGTACATTATTGTTTCTCCTCTATGCCCCGCCTTTCTGAAACGCGTCGATTTTTACAAAGCTCATCGGTCTGAAAAGCGAGGTGTGCTGTGATTGGCCAGCTATCCAGTGCGTTGTGATTGGCCGAATACCTCAAGTGTGTGACGGAAATGTTACGCCCCTTACTGTACTGTAATGATGCCCTGTCAGGCCGGAGCAACGATTCAAAAACATGAAAACCCATTATAAACGAGGCATTCGTTGCATCCAGTGGGGACATAATTATGGATTATAATGACTTACACTGTCTTTTAACGCATTGCGTTGCATCGTGCCACGTAAACATAAAACCATGTCTACATTTGTGATCGGAGAAATGACAAACAACAAGCACTACTCTACACTGCCCAAAAAACTTGCGTTTGAATCCTTCTTTCTTTGCGTGAACATTTGGGCGGCGTTATGCAAATCTTCCCACATCGTGACGTAGACATGTGGGGGCGTCTTAGAACGAGCCGTTTTAGGTAGGCGTGGCTGACTCAACTTTTATAAAGAACATCTCTTTGGATTTGAGACTTTAGTCTTTGCAACTTTACAGATCTTCTTTATGCACCAAGAGCTTGTAACACTCCAAAGAGAAAGGAAAAATTGAAATCGCATCATATGACCCCTTTAAGAACTGTATGTTCTGCAATAACAACAGTAACGAGGAGGAAATGATTTTGAAACTTTTTTAGATTATTTTAAAATATATATAATAATTTATTAATTTAGGTTCTCATAAGTCATCCTGCATCCCCCTTGGAAGTTTGCTGAGGCCACTGTTTGAGAACCACTGGACTACAGGGACGTAGCAAAAATAACTAACAAATCCCTGGACATTTTGAAATGTTTACATCCGGCCCCCTTACTTTTTGTATTTTAAACACTAACAGACAGGAAGACAGGCTTTATTCTGAATTTAGTTACAGTTTAAGACCATTGAGAGTCACAAAGTGTGCATGCAAGCCCTTCAGCTGTGACAGTAATGACAATACAGCATAGATAGTATTTCAGCACAGCTGGAATCTTGCATTGGAATGCTGCCAATCAGCATCCAGGACCAGAACTCTTCATTTTAATAATTTTCAAAGACTCTCACTTTTCAAACTCCTTGTACACCCCTGATTATCTCTGACCTCCAGAGAGAGCAAAAGACATTATCAACCCCTTCAATCAACTTATATCATGCCAGAAGTATAAGCAGCCATACTAGATATGATTTGCACGACTACACAAGCTGAATAAAGGCTGACATCAACTAAAACAAAAATAACTTACTACATTCGTAAATTTGTTCCAATTTGTCCACTGATGACAAGGAGAAAAACTTGTACCCGGACTTGGTACCCACAGCTAGGGATCTGGAAAGCAAGGAGGTAACAATAATGAAACGCTACAGTAAGTCATTAAAGCACAAATCCACTTCTTTATGGTCTACTGGTTTGCTTAATGACTAAAACAGGTTGTTGACCTGATGGTGAAATGTGTTAAAGGGCTAATTTGCAATCCTTGTCGTGTAATATGACATGCTTGAACTTCAAGATACAAAAGTCAGGAGACAGTAAGCTATTTTAGAGCAGTTTACTTTCTATAGTGCTGAAATGTAGCAGCTGTTATTAGTTCTAAAAGCACTGGCAGTATTGTCTGTGAGGTGAGCCAGCGGTTACACCAGTGGAGTCAATGATTTGAGCTTTGGTTAACTTGACAGTTGGTTCCTTGGTTACTAGATTTGGAAAGATAAACAAACGGCTTTTTAAAAACATAAAATTGCATTGAAACTATCAGACAGCCCAAAAAAACCCACAAAATCAAAGCACAGTTTCAAGTCATAGGTTACTCTGGTGTTGCTAACATTTGATCTACTTTTTTCCTACTTTATTAAACACACAGATAACAGCTTTATTTAACACTTGCTAAATGATATATATAACCAAACGTTAATTTACATCCCGTATTTAACATTTCATACAGTTAGTCTGACATATAGCTATGCAGAAGAGCAAATGTGTAATTTTCTCGTTAGCACGGGCGCTAGTGCTACAAGTCTCGTGAGTGAATTTGTCTGACGTTACTTCACAGAGCAAAATTGAGTGCTGATTTAAATCAAACAAAGCTGCATTAACACATCGTGTGTAACTGTCTTAAGAGGGACCGACTTAAAAGTCAGAAAGCATAACAACAGGGAGTGTTTTAGCTGGTTAGCACGCTCTATCATCCTGTCCGCACTGCACTCGAGCGACGACACAGCGAAAACGCTTCAATGATAACGAACGAAGCTTCGCACGACTGCAGTGCAAATTACTCGTTGATTATACTGACAGCATTGTGCTGTTGTCGAGTATATGGGCTGTTAGGCCAGCAGCAGTAGCGTGGTTCTTTTCTTACGTGTTATCCTGATTAAAGTTGGCGAAGAGCAGCTGGCTGCAGCCGGCCTCTCCGCTCTGACTGGCCAGGTTCATGGGCTCGACACCATTTGCAGATTAAGCCGAAGTGAAAAGGGCTCAGATGTGGGTTAGATTAGTGAAATCTGGTGTCGTCTCGCACTGCCATAAGTTCCACCCTTGCTCCAATGAATGTTGTTGTTTTCCTCCAGCCACTGTTGCACCTTTTTCGTGCGCATGCGCAGTGGCTGCTGCACGCACAGCCTCCATTCTAATTAAAGCGAAAGGTGATCTATTTCTCACTAAAGCGGGTATGTTTTCAAATGCTTTGCAAAAGTTTACACAATTTATCGCAATTCATTTTAGAAGATTCATAATGAAGCCCCTAATTGAGAATATACAAGATACTAGCTTCCATAGTGGTTCTCAAACGTTTTGACTCCAAGGCTGTCCACAACACTGTACACATGATCAAAACTTTGCTGTTGTACAAAACCTGTTGTACACAATCTTCTACATACCTTCTGCCCTCTGATTGATAGTTCACTTTTTTTTTCTTTTTTTTTACTAATAAAATGTCTTTTAGTATAATTCTAAAAATGCCAACTTTAAGGTCGTGTTACATGTGTCTGTTTGCTGTGAGTAATTGTAAGTAAATGTAAGAATAACTTTTAAATTGTTATTAATATTTCAAGATGAGCACTTACTGGTCTGAAGCAACCAGATTTAGCCTACTTGATTATGCATACATCGTTTTTTATTTTTTATAAAACTCATGTTAATATGTGAGTATCAAATATGATACAACTTCTGAGGAACACAGTTTTGTCACCATAATAAAAACTACAGAGTTTTGATAATACAACTAAGCATTTAAATATCATCGTACTAAGCCATATTTTGGGGTGACAACTGACATTTATATGCATTTTACATAAGTAGTCTGCTTACTGCTACCGTTAGGACTATAAAATCGAATTGATTTACATTATAAGCTATTACAATTTCACCTTACTTTTGGCCATAACAACATCTGCACCAAACTGCATACGTTTTGCTCAGTTTGGGCCTCTAAATAAAATTTATGTTTATGCTCAGGTCTGAGCTCCATATTTTCACAACATCATACAATATAGGCCATAAAAGCCTGATATCAAATGTGATAAAAACATAAACACAGTTGCAAGATATGCAATAATAATTTAGATTTTCTTTTGTCTAAAGGTTCAAAACTGTTCCATTTCAAAAACTTACTAATCAATAAATATCTGGATTTTTAGTTGTTTTAGCTTATTTTAAAGCTTGTTTTGTCTTTAAAATATGATTATATTGTATCTTTAAAATATTTTAAGTAATCTTGAGGCAACTCTGGTTGAGAACCACTATACCAGAATGGAGTATGGAAGCCATCTCTGCAATCACGACGGATGAGACGCAGATTGAAATGTTATGAACTTATTTAACCAGCAGAGGGCTTCGTGCGCCATGTCTCTGAGATGTCACAATTCTAGTGTTAACTAGTTTACGGTCAGTACAAACCCTACTTTGGGTCACAGAGAAAATGTGCTGACCAGGTCAGAAATGGTTAGATTTGATACCTGACCATTGTAATGTTGGCCTTCAGAGTCATATAAACAATGACCAGTTTTATAACAGAGCAAACATGGAGTTTATATGTTAAAAAAGGATCTAATCTAACTTAACGCATCCTCAGAATTGTATATAGGCCTATTATATATATTGCCTTGTGTTTATTTATTATTTAAGTAAAAATGAGGTCTTCACAAAATAGCGTGCATGTAGCCTAACACTCAGATCTTAGAGAGGGTTGTTTACGTCTTTCTAAACAAGCATTTCTAAAGCAAATATCCGCTACATGAGATGCAGTCCGTTTGCCGCGAGCCTTTTCCAAGTTTACTTGGAAGAAAGCAAAGGGGCGGGGAGGGGATTGAGCGGACGCACAGCACAGCGGCATTCCTGACAGAAAGAGGGGTCGCGATACGCTTTATGATTATTCCAAAAATCCGCTGTCACTGTCTCGCGGCCGCTTCTCGCAGTTCTGCTCCCGTGTGCGTACTGAGCAGCGCAAGTCTTCACGTGCTCGCAGAGGCAGTACTGCTTCCTTCGAAGTTTTGGACGCACTGAAACATCCGGAGTTTGCTCGTCGCTGGCACTGGGAATAGTCAGGCTGTCTACCCAGGAGCAAGTTCCGCAGCGAACATGTGCAAATATGTACAGTATGGATTTTAGGAGGACGAAGTTCGGCAGGTAAATGATCTAAAAATAACATTGTTTTCTTAATATTATTGAAAAGAATGGTTGGCTTTTACACTTTTTTTAAACAACTGAAAGTTATTACGTTTTTGTCCTATGTTAATAACAGAAAATCATTATTGAAAGGAGAATAAGGGTTGTTAATAAGAATACAACACTATTAAACAAAGTAAAACAGCGCGAGCCAAGGCATTGTGTTTATTCATGGGTAAAATCTTGAGGTTCTGTCAACTTCTACTTTCATTTTATTTCTGCACTGTTGCAACTTGCCTTTTGGTGAGGATTTCCTGCAGACCATCACACAGACACATACACAATGAATAGAAATGGATTGCAACATTATTTTGAAACAACAGGTCTGGCATTAAACATATTGCTTGTGTTTGTGCTAAAACATTTCTTCAGTTTTAGATAGTGTAGCTTATACTATAATGCCTATAGACTATATAGGTGTATGTTTCTTTTCCACAAATGTAAAGTGATCATATGAATGTATTCCCAAAAGAAAACGATTATTCACTTTACTCATATTGTCTTTGTGAAATGTCTTAGTATTAAACTTTCATCATTCCCATAAATTGTCATTCAACATGGCTTTCCAAGAATAGTGTTTTAGATAACATGAACTTTATTAATATGAACATTTGCCAAATCTTTTTTTTTCAGTAAGACATATAGATATTGTAAATGTGTTGATAGTTTTGTGTGATGACAAAATTTGTCAAATGTCAGGTCACAAGTCACATACCTGGCAAACATAAGCAGGCCTTGTGTTTGCCTTTTAAGATCTTTGCCCCAGATGATGTTGACTAGATTATGTGCAAATGCTGTTTTTGTTCCCTATTTTATCTCATGTGAGCATTTTTAGAGTGTCTCAATGCTAAATATATGTGTAAAAAACACACATTAACTAAACACTTTTTATTTATGCTCCCACAACTTAAAGAGTTGCTTTGCATAATGAAACAGTTAAATTTGCTGAAAATGTACTCGTATTAGGCCATCCAAGATGTAGGTGAGTTTGTTTCTTCATCTCCAAATTTCTCTGATTTGGAGAAATTTAACATTACATCACTTGCTCACCAATGGATCCTCTGCAGTGAATGGGTGCCGTCAGAAGGAGAGTCCAAACAGCTGATAAAAATATCACAATAATCCACAAGTAATCCACTCCAGTCCATCACTTCACATCTTGTGACGTGAAAAGCTGCGTGTTTGTGAGAAACAAATCCATAAAGAAGTTTTAACTTTATACGGTTGCTTGCTACTAAAATTCTCCTTTCTTCTGTCAATAACATTGCTTTCTCCAGTGAAAAGTTATCTTGTATGAATCAGGAGAGAAATATGCACAGATCAAGCACAGTCCAAAACTGTTCTAAAAATATGTTGGTGGATTTTGATGTGACCGGACAACAGCGGATGGACTTTTTCACTGGAGGAAGCATTGTTATGGAAAATTGAGTTGTATTTTGGCCAAAAGCAATGGTTTAAAGTTTAAAGTTAAAAGATACATTTATTTTCATTTTTGGGTGAACTATTCCTTTAACCAAAGAACAGTGGCTAAAACTGGTGAATTTAGTTCAACTGTATTATCGTACCTAGATGCAGTGTTTCCTCTTATCTCCAGAAAACTCTCAGGTGAGTCATAAACTCCAGTCAGCACCTGATAAACTTTCATTAAATTCTCCAGAATCTTCCCAGAAAGGTCAGACACAGGGTTCCCTCTCAATCTCCTCTTCTAAAGTATACAGGTGCATCTCACTTTTCCACGACATTCTAATTTATTGAGATGCACCTGTAGTACAATTAGTTGGACTGTGTGTATTTTTGTCCCTTGTGACTCTTTGGTTTGGATCCTCCTTGTTTCAGAGACAAGAGACTTGCATTGTGGACATCTGAGTGCATATTTGGTTTTTGGACGGGATATTTTGGCCTCTGTCATATGCGATTGTCACACTCAACAATAAATCACTCAGTAAATTGTCTGTGCTCATAGAAGAACCGGCCTTTATGAAGCTGGAGCATATGAAAGCATAATGAACAAGGCCTTACCGAAACCTCAGATGCAGAAGCATAGCCTAAGCAACTTTATCATGACTGCCATATTTGATTACTTGCATGTAAATGTTGTAAACATCTGTTTTTTAACATTGCAAATTGGTTTTCGTTTTTTTTTTTATATTATAATAAGGAGGAGCATTATGCAACAAAATGCACTTGCTGTGTGGTTTGGAAAAAGAAGAACTTGAGGTCGGCCTTAAAATGTTGGAATACAATGTTTGATGTCATGACTAGTATGTAGGGCCACATTATGCATGAGTAGACATCTTGGCTGAATCATTTTTGGCTGAAACCCAAGACCAGCACTGTGTATCATGTTGCTGTAGACGCTCTGTGAAGTGCAAAACATCCAAATCTCTGAATGTTTTCTCTAGTGAAGGGCCACTGATGAGTGTCACACTCCTTCATCCTCACAGTGTGTCATTATCATATTCTCACATAGACACATCCTCCTGGCACAGTGTTTGGGGATAGAATAGCACGTAATTTGAAATACTGCTTATTAATTTCACATCATAACATGTCTTTGTTTTACTCTTTTTTTCTCTCGAATTGAACTAGATTCATTGTTGTGTATTGTCTGTACATGAAGACAGTATTTTTTATATTTTGAAGTATTGCTAAAACATTTCTCTATTATAAAAAAGTTAAAGTATATATATATATATATATATATATATATATATAATAGCATATATTATAGACATTGATCTTTCCAGTTTAGCCCCAGATGCCATCATATAAAAGTAATTTTTTTTATAAAGGCCAAGCAGAGACACACTTGCTGAACCCTGTAGCCAAACATTCATTTAATGAACTCATCCATAATAATGAACAGGATGGCCTGCAGTGCTCTGAGTAAATATTTTCCCCGAATATAGTAAAAAAATATTGTGATATGAAAAGTGACACTAAATATACCCAATAACTATGTTGCTTAAAGGCACATTCTGCATGAACTAGCAGCTCTGGTGCATTCAGGCATTATAATTGAATGTATGACTGTGAATGCAGTTCCTACATCACACCCGGATCACACTTTAAAAAAATTTGTTTTTATAGAAATTGAGAAAAAATAAAAAAAAGTTATGAAATCATGTTTCATAACAAAAAGGACATGGCAGTCCTTTAAGTCAGCCTCTATGTTTCAGTGGCAGAATTATCTTTGACAAGACTGCAACTGAAGACAATTAATCTGTTTATTGCTTGTAATACACTATAATCAAGATATATAATCGAGAAGCAAAGTAAGATGGTTTCCTGAGCTTGGCTCGTTTATTCTGGTAAGCAGTGTAGCCCACTTATAATTGAATGTATGACTGTGAATGCAGTTCCTACATCACACCCGGATCACACTTTAAAAAAATTTTTTTTTATAGAAATTGAGAAAAAATAAAAAGTTATGAAATCATGTTTCATAACAAAAAGGACATGGCAGTCCTTTAAGTCAGCCTCTATGTTTCAGTGGCAGAATTATCTTTGACAAGACTGCAACTGAAGACAATTAATCTGTTTATTGCTTGTAATACACTATAATCAAGATATATAATCGAGAAGCAAAGTAAGATGGTTTCCTGAGCTTGGCTCGTTTATTCTGGTAAGCAGTGTAGCCCACTTCCCTGTGTCCTCATGCACATTAATTAAATCACACAGATAAAGAGTGTTTGGGGGGAAATAAAAAAGAAAATCCCAAGCTTCAGGTTGGCATGGAGACTATGACATCATCACTCGATATATCAGCGGCTCAATGTAAGTGGCATAAAAGACCTCATTCCGAACAGGATTAGCTTCGTCGTTAGGTAGTTACAGATGCTAGGCAACCATGCAATACAAGAACATTCTGAAAATGTGATCCGAATGCATATTAAATCCTTGAGGTGCCTCAAAGAGGCTTATCTAATGCTCTTGAACCTGAACATTAGGTGCTTGTTATCCTTAATGTGTTTCATATATCTGAATTAACCTCTGAAATGAAAAGGACTTTAACCTGTAACATTGTTCTGCTGTTTCTGTGCCATCAGATCAAGGGCCGGTTCTAGATATTTGGAGGACCTAGGCAAAATGCATGCACTTGAAACAAATTTGATTCCTAACCTTTTTATTTATACATTTCATTTTAAATTTTGTATATTTTTTTACTTATACAGTACCGGTCAAACGTTTGGACACATTACTATTTTTAATGTTTTTGAAAGAAGTCTCTTATCCTCATCAAGCCTGCATTTATTTGATCAAAAATACAGAAAAAAAAACAATAATATTGTGAAATATTATTACAATTTAAAATAATGGTTTTCTATTTTACTATACTTTAAATATAATCTATTCCTGTGATGTCAAAGTTGTCTTCAGTGTCACATGATCCTTCAGAAATCATTCTAATATGCTGATTTATTATCAATGTTAGAAACAGTTGTGCTGCTTAATATTTAATTTATAACCTGTGATACTTTTTTTCAGTATCACAGTACTTTTTTTGATGATTAAAAAGTTGTTTAAAAATGGAAAAATAAATAAATAAATAGAAATCTTTTATAACAATATAAGTCGTTACTATCACTTTTGATCAATTTAACACATCCTTGCTGAATATGACTGTTTTTTCCTGCATTTTTGATCAAATAAATGCAGACTTGATGAGCATAAGAGACTCCTTTAAAAAACATTAAAAATAGTAATAGTAATGTCCAAACTTTTGACCGGTACTGTATGTTCATATTAATAGTATGACAGTTGGTCACTGTCATAACTCGGGCCAAGCGATTAGTCAACAGAAGAGACAGACGGCTGCACGTGAGTGTTTTGCGTAATACTTGTTTATAGATCTGCTGTTTGAATTATTACTTTCTGCTAGGAAGGAATATTTCGTTTTCTGCCTATTTCTACGTTATATTTTTGTTTGCGTTTGTATTTTTGATTGCACTTTCTGGTAATTATAATAATTGTCCTCGGCAAAGAAGGAGCGCGTGTAATTTAATTGCTCCCTTCCTGCGTTTAAGTGCGAACTGTAGTTTCGATTTGAGGAATTGGCCTGCTATAGACTATTGGCTGTGCTAATTAGAAGGCGGCCACAGCTGTTTTCACTTTAGTCTTTTAGACTGTGTATTTACCTGATGTCTGTGCGCTGACGCGGAAGCATCAGCGGAAGCGTTCAGGCCTTCTCGTGTGAAGACCAACGAGTGTAAAGACCTGCGACTTCACCGAGCACCGAAATCGCCTAGCCACTTAATGCTTTGGATAAAAGCGTCTGCAAAATGACTAAATGTAAATGTAAATGTAATAACTTTATAATCTCTTTTTTGTTTGTTGAGAATGTTATTATTATAGCCATGATATTATTATTTATTATTATTATTTTGCAGTAGTTTGTTCAGTAATTTATTCACAGTTCCTGTCAGTTCCTCTTCAGTAAATGAACATCAGTGCTTTTATAATTTTTTTAAGCTGGCTATGGGCAGGATTTCCCCCTCCCATTTAATCAATAATGACTACAGATGTTGTCATAATATTAATAATATGATATTTATGTATTGCATTGTTACTTTGACTATGCACTATACACAAATCAAGTGGAAGTGAAAGACAATCACTAAGCAGAAAAGAAGTTCATTTCTAGTTAGTTGAAACTGAAATTAAGTGTTAAGTTAGAGCAGTAATGATCATCAGCAGAATTTAGAAGATACACACTGAGCTCCTTTTTTTTGGAAACATTAAAAATTGTTCTAGTGTGTTTGCTTTTTGACTTTGAATATAAACTTCTTTGCTTTTATTTTTGTAGCTATTTTGCTAGTCAGCTCCTGATCGACACAACAAGTTTATATTTATAATACATTAGAATCACTCCAAAATAGATAACGACAACTCACACACCTGCATTAGGAGCTATTAGCCTTTTGCTTCGCAGCACCTGAAGGATGTGTTCGTCACTGCAAACATTCAGAAGGCGGGACCCGCTTTGAAACGGCAACATTAATTGGTTTATTAATTGAAGTTCAGTGAAAATTCAAGTATATCCAGTGAGCAATGAGGATATACGGTGTTACGGTTATGGAGGCCCCGCCTCAAAGCCCGAGGCCATAGACAATTGCCTGCTCGCCTATAGGTAGCGCCGGTGGGCCCTGAAATGAGATGTGTGAGAAATGATGTCAAATGGGGTGAATGGGGATACTTCTATTCACCACAGACACATTAAATTGATGCATTAATGTGACAGTAAAGACATTTATAATGTTATAAAAGATTTAAGATAAATGCTGTTCTTTTGAACTTTCTATACATCAAAGAATAAAAATATAAAAAAAGATATCAGTTTTCACAAAAATATGAAGCAGCACAACTGTTTTCATCATCGATAATAATAAGAAATGTTTCTTGAGCAGCAAATCAGCATATTAGAATGATTTCTGGAGGATCATGTGACAGTGAAGACTGGAGTAATGATGCTGAAAATACAGCTTTGTCATCACAGGAATACATTACATTTTAAAATATATAAAACAATTATTTAAAATTGTAATAATTATTCATAATATTATTTTTATATTGTATTTTTAAATAAATGCAAAAGAGACTTCTTTCAAAAACATAAAAAAATATTACCACCCCCAAACGTTTGAATGGAAGTGTACATGACCTTAGATCTTTTTTTTTAAATAAATATTTTATTTTTATAAATCCAGTCTATATATTCTTGAAATAGTTAATAAAATTTTACTAGGATGACAGCCCATATAAATTACTTCTAATTAATGTATTGTATTTTAAAGAAGAGGAAAAAAAATAAGACTGAAGCTCTACCTTCAGTCGCAAAATTTATTTATTTATTTATTTTTTAGGTTTATGAACAACCGAGTCCCATCTAGCAAGAGATACCAGCCAACTGAGTATGAGCATGCTGCCAACTGTGCCACCCATGGAGTAAGTGGAAATCTACTTCTTATCTCACGCAGAGCTCAGAGCAGGTCAAAACAATATGTTGAAGAAACCTCACTGAAAATAAAGTGCTTAATAACAGTACGTGAGATAACAAACTGGACGGGTTGGTCAACATTTAGTATACAGACCTCTGGTTTTGTGAAGGAGTGGGTGTTGTCAAGAGGGAAGGCTTTGATGCCATTGTCCTTTGACACAGAAGGATCACCAAGGTCACAAAAAGACCTCAGAGATTGTGTAATGTAATACTGCTCAACAAACAACAATATTTTAAGGATATACAGGGACAAAATCATTCAACAATACCATTAGGTCACAGTCATCAAGTCATTTTCATACTGTCATTTGCTTGACTCAGTTCTCTTTTCATCCTTGCTTCTGATCTTGGTTTATGTTCATGTGTTTTTTATGGGCATGTTGGGTATGGCCTTGCTCCGTGATGTTGTTTGGATAACATCCTGCTCTCTAATCCCTGCCTCTCAGAGCCGCACATCTGGCACGGCCAGTTCACAAGCTTCAGCATGAGACACTGACCACACACCAAATCCTCTTTGCACCAATGCGTTGTCGTTTGGCTGTGGAGTAAATGCTCAAGAATACTGTGCATCTACTTTTCTGATGTCTACAAATTAAAGTCAAGCCATGAAAATGTATGGTGTATGTTTGTTGATAATGTGTTTATGTCAGAATGCTGTAAATGCCTAGATTTGCTGGTTTTGGTTATTACCTTCTTTAAAAAAAAAAAGAAGGCTTCTGTAGAAAATCAGTAGGGCTTGTGGGATATGTTAAGAAGATTTGATCAGACACACATAGTGACAGATGGAAGGAGGGTCGGTCAGGCTACAAATATTAGAATTTGACATTTTTCTGATGTTATTACAGTAATCCAAATAGCAAACTGTACATACATTATGTTGGACTGGGGTTGGCCATTTTAGTTAATTTAGTATTTAAGTACTATAATGGAGTGTTGACTAGCTTGGCACCAGCTGAGGGTTGAGTCCAAGTCAAGACTGAGCACACATGCTTCACATGAAAATATGGCCTTGGTCTTGTTCCTCAAGTTTGAGTTCAAGACCATATTTTCATGGTAATGGTCTTGGTCTTAGGCCACGTGTTCCTGAGTCCACAACAAGAACAAGACCCTGAAAATATTGTCATATTGATTAAAAAATTAAGGGCAAGTTCTTGGTCCTCAAGTTTGAGTTCAAGACCATATTTTCATGGTAATGGTCTTGGTCTTAGGCCACGTGTTCCTGAGTCCACAACAAGACCAAGACCCTGAAAATATTGACATATTGATTAAAAAATTAAGGGCAAGTTCTTGGTCCTCAAGTCTGAGTTCAAGACCATATTTTCATGGTCTTGGTTTTTGTATTAGTCCACATGCTCCAGAGTCCACAACAAGACCAATACTGTCCAATATTAGGGCCCTATGAAATCGGTTTTATTTTTTTCCAAAATTCTATTTTTTTCCCATTTTAATTTTTCTGAACTTTGTTTTAATGATTAAATTAAATTGTATTAACCAAAAAGCATGTCTAATTAATTGAAATCATGAAACTTACACAATGTAACAGCAATTTATAAAAAAAATTACATTTTTAGGGCCCTATGAAACGTTTTATTTATTTTTCTCAAAATCAGTTTTAATTTTTACCAGATTCCGTGTTTTCCATTTTAATTTTATGGATTCCATTTTAATGGTTTAATTAAATTTTAATAATCAAAAGTATCTTTAATTAATTGATTCTATATATAAAAACAATGTATTATTACGTTCTTTCTTTATTCAGAAATACTGTGTTGTGTATTTATTTTTTTCCAATATTGACTTGCTCATAAAATATGATTAAAAAATAGTCTAAGACCACATTTTCACTTCCTGGTCATGTCATGGACTCAGGAGCATGTGGACTTGTTCTTGATTCGGATTCAACCCTCTTCTGGTCTTCTTGACTTAAATGGGCTGGTCTTGACTCTTAAACACTGCTTTAACACATACACACAAAAATGATATCTTGAGAAGATACAAAAAAAGATACATATTTATTTTGTCTTCTGTTCAGTTCTGGATCATTCCCAGTATCCTGGGCAGCTCAGTGTTGTACTTCCTCTCTGATGACCAGTGGGAGACCATCTCTGCATGGATGTATGGGACAGGTCTGTCTGGGCTGTTCATCATGTCCACCATGTTCCATACGGTGTCCTGGAAGAAAAGTCATCTCAGGTGAGTCATTACATAGCTGTGATATAGTTATTATTTAAAAAAGTTATAATATTTTAAATGTTTTCTTCAAATAAAGTTATATTTTATTTAAAAAATCTTGATATTGCAACAAAAAAGCATGTTATTTGTGAACTAAAGAGGATGCTTTTTAAAAAGTGCACGCAGTATGTTTAACATGTTTCTGCCTAAGGGGATTCAAGAATGACTAAACACACACTCATTATAAAGTGCTTCAAGATGTGAAACAAACAGATTTCATAAGTTGATTAGGCATGTTTCCTGTCTTTCCTGTTAGCAGCACCATTCTAGATTTACTGGAATATTGTACAAACTTCTCGTATGTCTATGGTGCAATATTTAATCTATAATCTAAAGTGTTGTTTAGGCTTTAGTATTTTTGCATATTCTGTACTAGGAGGAAGTGTCAGCTGTAAATGCAGATTTAGCGGAAACATTATGAATGAACTTTGGATCTTCATCAGAGCAGGACACCTGAGTAGTTAAATATGAATCCACATTGACAGTGCCGATGGTTTCACATGGGCCTGTCAGTTCATGTTCACAGAAGTGAGTTTCATCAGTCTGTGATTCATTTCAGTCATGACCCTGCCCATTCCAAATAACACATACAGGAAAAAGAACAAAAAACAGGACTCAAATCTGTATAAAGGGGTTGCAACATGCTTCACTAGAGTTACTTACTTACCTTTATTCATTTAGAACAGGGGTGTCAGACTCAGTTCCTGGAGGGCCGCAGCCATGCAGAGTTTAGTTCCAACCCTGCTCCAGCGCACATACCATGTAGCTTTCAAATAAGCCTGAAGGACTTGATTAGCTGGATCAGGTGCGTTTAATTAGGGTTGAATCTAAACTCTGCAGGGCTCCGGCCCGGAGTCCGGCCCTCCAGGAACTGAGTTTGACACCCCGATTTAAAAGATCAAATCAGCATATTAGAATGATTTCTGAAGGATCATGCAACACTGAAGACTGGAGGAATGGCTGCTGAAAATTCAGCTTTACCATCACAGGAATAAATTACATTGTTAATTATATTCAAATAGATAAAGAGTTATTTTAAATTATACACAATATCACCGTTTACTGTATATGTTTAATCAAACAAATGCATCCTGGTTAGCATAAGAGACTTCTTTTAAACAGTAGTGTAGGTCAGAAAGATACAAGCCAGTACAAATATTTGAGTGCAAACTAGAAAAAAAGAGAGTGATTTTTGTTTTGAAACATTTTCTTGCTGTAACAGGAAGGTGGAGCAGCGATTCCACATGTGCGACAGGATGGTGATATATTTCTTTATAGCTGCATCTTATGCACCCTGGTGAGTATGTGATGTGTGTGTCTGCCAGTAGCATCACCTTCAGTGTTTTACAGCTTCACAGGGTTGAGTGTCTTTGTGTGTGTGTTGTGTGCAGGCTGAACCTGAGGGAACTAGGACCCTGGGCTGTGCACATGCGCTGGTTGGTGTGGATCATGGCCTGCGCTGGCTCTGCCTATGTCTTCTTCTTTCACGAGAAGTAGGCGCCCACCACTTTTTTGAGGATGTAGAGGATAATAATCACTCTCAGATGCTGATGTGGTAGTTAACATCCAAAATGGTGTAAAAATGCTGTCTGTGCTTGTTATTTTGCCAAGCAATTGCATTATGAATGCATCAAATAATGCAAGTGAATATTACCAACCCAGCATCAGAATATCTTTAAAATGGCTGTGTTATGTTTCAGGAACAAGATATTAGACTTACTGTGCTACACTTCCATGGGAGCTGTTCCTGCAGTTGTTCTTCTGTCAATGGTATGTGTGACTGACACCTATACATGTGTTCATAAATACAGTGATGAAGGCTTTTGAGATGCCCTAAGCAGCTTATTTATATTTTACAACATTTCCGTTAGCTAGTGTTGTTAACATCAAGTATACTTTGTAACTGAAGTAGGTCTTTATTTCATGTCTTTGTGAGACCTGGGGCCAGTTGCATAAACATAAGACACTATGACAAACGACAAAAAGACAAAAAAGACAAACTAATTTGACCAATCAGCAGTTAGCCAAGGGGTAATCAGTCTTACTTTTTGGATTCACATTAGACCAATCTACCTTTTTGTAACTGACTTTAAAAAGTTATAACCAGTCTTGAAGAAAAGAAATGAGATGACTAACTTTTTAAGACTAGTCTAAGCAGTTTATGCAACCCGCCCCAAGTTATTGAGTCATTCAATGAATCAGGTGCCTTTCCTGATGAATTTTAGGAGGATTTAAAACATCCTATCAGACAAACACTGTGCCAAAGCGTTAACGAATTACGTGATTGTCATCTTAAGCTAAATGAATGCATTTTAATAAATAGGTTGGGATACATTTATGCCCTCAGAAAGGGTTGTCATTACACTATTTTTGTACAAGCCTTGTGGTTCTACAGGGTGCTTCTCAGAAAGATTTAATAATTTTTAATTATCACTTGTTTACTACTGTATATGACATCATTCAATTGTAACTTATATAAATTATTTGTATTTATTCATTATTAAAGTTTTATCCCCAGGTTAAGCATCCTTCCTGTTATCACCATTCATATATACAGTATATATATATATATATATATATATATATATATATATATATATGCACACACACTTTCACTTTTATATTTTTATGTATCAAATCATACATTTGTATCAGAATATGTGCATTTTTGTAAAATGAAACAGAGTTGGTAATGGATGGAGACAGATCAGATCAAAAAGGGCATCCTCATGATTAAACGAACCACTTTAACATAACTTAAACATAATGTTACTGGATTTTAATCTTTAAAAGAATGTCTGTATTAGCATAGCAAAAGTTGGCATTAGCTATTCATTGTTATTCAAGTTATTTTTTTACACATGCATACAAGAGAATCAAATGGCACACTTTTTGTACAGTGTCCCTTTTGTATTTTATCTGTGGGAGAGCGACCGGTTTAAACTGAATGTATTATTTCAGCCTAACAGAGAGGGCATATTAGAGCTGTCAGTGGGCGGAGTCTTCTACTGCCTGGGAATTGTCTTCTTCAAGAGTGATGGCCTCATCCCATTCGCTCATGCCATCTGGCACATCTTTGTGGTAGTGGGGGCAGGCATACACTATTACGCCATCTGGAGGTACTTGTATGCAACGGGGACCAGCCAAATCAAAATATCCAGGTGACAGATGTAGAAGATCTCCAGTGTTCACACACAGGGTTTGTTGAGCTATAAAAGACGGTGCATTTGATCATGAGCTGCCTTTGCATCCCTCTATATTAATCATAGACGGGCATGTTCCAGTACTGTTGGTCTAAAATATATTTTTATATAGAAGGATTTATGTCCTGATAACTCGGCACCTTCTGGCCAGTCTATTTTTGCAGATGTAGTCTTAACCTGTTGACATAATGTACTGTTTCAACTGTCAGTGTTTACAGCAAAATGTGTATAATATAGAAGATATGAATAACATTCCACATCCTTTAACTGAGCTATCTACTGCCTTGATATGAACTCCCATAGTCAGACTGTGCTTGTGATAGTAATTTATTGACATTCACTGGCATTGAGCAGAATAATGTTGAAGTATTTCTACTACTGTGAACTTGTAGTAATGTATATGTACAAAAATGTTAGAAATGACTTTCTAATTGTTGCACAATGGATCGTGATGGATCATTTCTATGAGGTTGTGATATTGTTTAGGTGGAAAGCTAGAGGGGATGACTTGATTTATACTATCGGTCCAGTGTTTGGAATAATTAATTTGTTATGTTTTCAAAAGAAGTCTCTTATGCAGTAAAAACTAATATTAAGTATTATTACAATTTTGAAGAAAAAAAAAAAATTCTATTTGAATATATTTTAAAATGTAATTTATTGCTGTTATGGCAAACCTACATTTTCAGCATCATTACTCCAGTCTTGAGTTTCACATGATCCTTCAGAAACCATTCTATTATGCTGATTTGCTGCTCAATTATTATTGGTGCTCAATTAATAATATTGGTTATTATTATTATCAATGTTTTGCTGCTTAATATTTTTGTCAAAAACTGATCTGCAGTTGAAATTAAAAATTCAAGTCAGTTCAGCTCCCACAGAGCCATTTTATTGGTTATTGGGAACGAGCCATGCACAGAAGCTCACATGGAAACTAGCCTTCATGACTTATCTTTTTAGTAAAACCCACTAGGACTTATCTCAAGGTCTAATAAAAATATAAACCTTAATGAAATTCTTGCAACTAAAACGTCATTTTTTAAAGTCAATAGACAATTATAATAGTTTAATAATTGCCGATTTTTGTTGATTGTTAGTTCTTCATGTGTTCCCATCTGTGCTCAGTTCTTTACATGACTGTTTTACCTATTGACACATTTAGCCAGGAAGCTCAGATATGAAAGAGTATGTTTTTAAGCACTTTGAATGTAAAATAGGTTTTTACTCATTGTCATAATGGTGCATTAATATGACAGTAAGAACCTGAGACATGTGTATTGTCAAATTTCATTTATATGGTCAATTCTTTTGTACCATAGACTTTTAATCAAAAGGACAAAAACTCAAACCTAAACTGTATTGAAACAGTTTTGACCCTAATCATAAGTGGCAGTAATAAATGCAACCTGAGAATAAATACACTGAATGTTTAATTTATAGAAATGTGTCTCTAACAAACATTTCAATAAATCAAGGAAGAAATCATAATTGTGTCTTGACATTTATTTGAATAGATTTGTGACTGACTAGCATGTGATCAGCAGAAGTGAAAATCATGAAGAAGTGCAGTGCTTGCCTGTTTTGCTCCAGTGTTTCTCACATTCCCTTTCACTCCCTCTTTGTGCCTTCAGAAACTCTCTCTTGGTATTCTGCACAGATATTTCGAAAACAGTTTCCTAGAATTGGCTTATGTGGGCAGGAAGCTGGAATGTCTATGGAGGAGCCCGCTGACTGCTCTCATGCCCTGAGGAAGTGAGGCGTTGGTGTCTCGGTGCCAGCGGGGGCCGTCGCCTCCGGCTGAAGGAGCCAGAACAAACTGAGCTACATTTGGTAACTTGAGCAAGTTAATACGTTCATGGGCTCGTGTGATGATCTCCTCAGTGTCCTCCTCACTGTAGCACACCATTACAGGAGCACTACGGGCAAACGTCCACATCTTAGACAGGCAAAGCGACACTCTGAGAGAAACAGAACCAAATGGAAAGAGTGAGATATAGAACTATTAGTTGATACAGGATTTTAATTCTACTGTATGTTATGGCTGATGATCATTTATTAGTTAAAAAAAAAAAAACTGGGAAAAATACGCCTTGATTTTATTTGCTTACAATATCTGGCTAATACAGACATGATCACAAATATCCAAAGGTCCAAAAGTTACATGAGAAAAGCATGAAATCTTGCATGAGATCTTACAAAAAGTAGCTTTCGAAAGATTTTTTTTCTTTTTTCATTTTATTTCTTTTTTTATCCCTTTAATTCGTTTTTTATTCATATGTAAATATGAAATTATTTTTAATGAAACGATACTCTAAACGAGAAACTAAAACTGCCAGTAGGTGGCAGTAATGTCTTAATGAATAAGTCATTGAGTGAGCCACTGAATAATTGGTTCACCCCATTCATTCAAAACGTGGATTCATTCAGAAATTGTGCTTTGCTTTGAAACACATAACAATTCTGCTGTGGTTTTGATAGGTAATATTCGCGTCTGCAAAACTGAGCAAAAACAAACAATATTGTGTTTAAAAAAGAACACAATATTAACTTATTATTTACTGAACTGTTGTATAATCACATTTACACTCATGCTATTCGGGACAAAAACTGTACTTGTGTGATATCGCTCATCAAATGATATAAAAATGAGACAAAAACTTATACAGTGACATTTTTGGGCCCAATATCTTGAATTTTAGGGGCACATACCTGAATTTGGACTACGTAGTTGTTGCCCTGTGTGTCAACAGTCAACTGTGTGAAATGTAAGATGACATGCAGGTCTGGGGACGTTAAAATATTTTATTCGTGTTATTTTTCATAACTATTTAATTAAATTAGTCTACATAAAATTATCCTTCATGAAGATGTAGAACATTCTGTGAAAATATAACCTTTATATCTTTAATATTGACTGAGTAAGGCCATCTCAAAGATTGAAATCATAGTGAAATTAATGGTTGAAATCAAACAAAAACAAAAAATATAAGTTTAACTGCTCAAGACAAATAATGGACTCATGAACAACTATTACAAAAAGTTGTTGATCAACACAATGGTAAGATTCAAGGGGATGCAAACTTTTGAAACTTTTTTAACATTTTGCATATTCTGCAAGGGGTATGTACACAATAAACAATATCTAATATAATTTGTTATGAACAAACTATAGTGTTGGAGCAGGCTGGTCTACCTGGGAATTAGATCCTGACTGCGTGTGGCCAGTTTGGCCAGGGTGGTCATGAGCACAGTGATGAGGCGGGGGGAGAAGCTCGGAGGACTGGCTGACTGTCGCACCTGCGTGATCTCAAACAGCACCGCCTCCAAAATCTCAAAAAAAGAGGTGATCAGTTCCACCCTGCAGCGAGGATCGTAGGACACTGAGAGATGCTCGCCAATGACCCACACCTACGTATAAACGTTAAATACAGTCACCTCAAGTACAGCATGATGACGCTTACAATCACAGTTCACTTCTGATGCTCACCACATGTGTGTAGAAGTCTTCTTTACTGTATATGTTGGCAGGGGAGCTTGCGAATTCCAGGATCTCTCTGGACTGATCCACAATCAGTGGTGGGTGGAGTCTGCACAGGGCCTGCAGGTGGGCGCTGAACACCCTACAATCAAAATCACAATAATGCTATAATCATTTACACATGCAGAATTTAAAAGAGATTAGAATATTCTGAAATGTACATCTAATTCAAGGAATTACTGAATAATCACCCCATTAATCACAATAAGAATTCAATTTAAAAAAATAATAACTCTAGTAACAACATGCCACTTGCAGCTTTCTGTGCCAAATCTTTTGCACAGATGAGAGAGGTTTTGCCAATAAAGAGTATTTAAATAAAGAGTGCCTCACTTTTGGACCTCAACATTAAATGTCTTGATGTTGTAGAGCAGACTATTTCTCTCCAGCAGCACTAGCAACAGCTGGTTCATCATTTTCTCATCAGCTTTCTATAAAACACAATAAAAAACACTGGAACAGATGACACAACTGAGACCTCCACATATTGCTGGTACAAAATGATATTGAAGGCAAAAGTGAATGTATGTTCACTTTTTCATACTGGTGTGGGCTATTAAATGGCCTGACCTTTTCATTTGTGACTCTTACCTGAGTGACTGTGTTGAAGTACACATGCAGAAGCACCGGAACGACCTGAGCGCACCGAACGACCCGTGGACTCTCCGCCATGTCAGCCAGAATCTCATGAAGCATTTTTAACCTACGAGGCAATCACACTCAGAGGTTTAGAATAAGCAGGCATTTAACACACACACAGACACTTCATTTTGAATAGTGGCAAGCCATTTTTGTGCCGTAGGGGTGGTAATTATAAGGTTGCAGATCCATGAGTATAACCATCGGAGCATATTTTAATATGCACTACCGTTTAAAGGTTTGGGTTCAGAATTTTTTCTGCAATGACACATTAAATTTATCAAAAGTGACAGTAAAGACATTTATAATGTTATTAAAGATTTCTATTTCAAATAAATGTTGTTCTTTTGAACTTTCTGTTCATCAACGAATCCTGACAAAATGATCACGATTTCCACAAAAATATGAAGCAGCACAACTGTTTTTAACATTGATAATAATAAAATCAGCAGCAAATCAGCATATTAGAATGATTTCTGAATGATCATGTGACACTGAAGACTGGAGTAATGATGCCGAAAATTCAGGTTCAATATCATAGGAATAAATGTCATTTTTACACAATAAAATAGAAAACAGTTATTTAAAATGGTAATAATATTTCACAGTATCACTGTTTTACTGTATATTTGATCAAATAAATGCAGCCTTGATGAACATAAAAGATTTCTTTTAAAACATAAAATGTACCGACTCGAAACTTATAATTGTAATTATGTATATGTAATTCTGTGATTGAATGAAATGTGATTGTATATGTAATTACTGTGTAATTATACCTCCTTAAATTCTGCATCCTGCTACCTAATTTTAAATTTAGGAATTGAATTCTGAATTCTTCTTAGATTATATTCTATAAATGACTTGCCGGGTATTACCCGTCTATTGTGTCTCCAGTCCCAGCCTCAGGTCTGAGCATGTAGAGGAAGAGCCCCCTATAGAACGGCTGGCGGAAGGCATCCAGACAAGCGGCCAACTTCTCTCCCTGCTAGTCCCACGTGGTACGGTCTGAAGCATGATAGCACGCTGATCTGCAACATCATTGCATCGCTAATTCACATCACAATCAACTCCAGTTAAAGCGCTGATCTGTAGTCTGTAAAGGCATGTACCTCTGCTGGAGGTCCAGGGCTGCTGCTAAGCAGGGCAGATCAAGGATTGTGTGCAGTAACTCAATGGCTGTATCTGGAGCTATCAGTGATGGGAGCAGCTCCACAAACTCTGCAATCAATCCTGAGCTGTTCCATGCCAAGAACTGGTGGGAAAATTGCACAAACATTTAAAAATCACTTATTAGTATTCAATTTAAAGGAATAGTTCACCCAAAATGAAAATTTAGCTGAAAATGTTACTACCCTCAAGGCATCCAAGATGAAGATGAGTTTGTTTCTTC